CGAAAGCGATTGAGGGCTGTGATCGAATTTCTGTCCCTGGCCTCCGACGGAGCCTTTAGACTAACCGGCCATGACTCATCCTGCATCACCTGAGTAGGAAGAGGTCCGGGAGCAGGGGGTCAGCTGAACTGATGTTGAAAGTGTTCCGCCCAACGAGCCATACGGCGCTACTTATTGTGTAACAGTGCACCAGCGCTGTCTGATTGTCTCACTGACACCTGGTTTCCTGGGACCAGTGTTGCGGATTAGCTGGAAGAGCTTGCGCTATTGCCTACGGCTCCTGCCTCCTCCATTTTTTGAGCCCGACTGATCCACCAGGCTTCCGTGTCTGCAGGAAAGCTCCACTTTAGTTCACGCCTAATAGCCCGTCTGGTCACATTGTGCTCAGAATCAGACGAGAGGGTTTTTCTGGATTGCAACAGGTTCACCGACCTCTCGGATATCCAGTGACTTGTGCGGTGACTATTGTTAGTACCATAAGCAGATGTTCCTGCGTCCTGCATGGGGGTCGATCTTCTATTCCACTGAAACTCAGTATCATTAGAACAAGCGAGCGAAAGTTCGGTACGCAGTGCGTCTTGATAGGCTTGACTGACCGTACGCTGGGATATTTTCTCAGTTACCAATCGGAGGAGTCGTTTGGTGCGCCTCCCGGTAAAGATCATGGAGAAATGACAGTCTACCAATGCAAGATCAGAGTCGACGCATGTATACCAGAACGAGAGGCAATCTGTAGCTTATGGCAACTTGATCTATTTGGGTTCATCGCTAGCCAGCTACAGGAGGACACCGAGTGGCACTTCGACGCCCACTGTGTCTAAAAGCAGTGCTACTAAGAAACAGCTGTTGCTCCGCACACAGTTGCAAAAGGCACTCGCCGTTGTCCGTTCGGTCGGATCTGAGCCCATAATTACCACCCAGCTGAGCTTCTGCAGAGCTCAGACGCCCTAGTTGTGCGTTCGTATCTTCTGCAAGTGGTATGATATATGAACTGGTAGCACTACGTAGTACCGCGTTCAGATCGTGGTGGAATGTGTCCTTTTCGGCTCCAGAACTGCAGTCGGTGGGAGCATAAGCGGAAATCATAAACAAACAGCGTATTGTACGACTTTGTGAATTAAACTTAGTTGATGTTGGGGGCCTTATTTCATGTATCATCAAGTTGGTGTGGTTTTTCAAAGGCTAAGCAATCGAAGGGGAACGGCGGGAGATCAGACTGTCAGTGAAAGGTAGAGTGTATGACTTTGCAGTAAGACCAGTGTTACTGTATGGATCAGAGATCGTGTTCACTTACTGCTAATTGCAGTGCATCGCCCACTTCTGATGGGAACACCGGGTGAACGATACTGAGGTCCGCCAGTTGGTTTTGTGTAAAAAGCCCTCTGATGACTCACTAGTGTTTGTTTAAGCTCACCCGATCAAGTTAGCTAGGTCATGCCATTCCTATGTCCGTTGACTGGGTTCCACTGCGTACATTATGAGACGTCGCTGCACCAAGTTGGGCGAAACCAAGAGGTGGCCAGTCAATGACATGGCATACAGACATGAGGAAACTGACTGAGAGAATTGGACAGGCCGGTTTGCGCCGTCTTCGTGGTTGGTGGCATCGGGATAGTCCACACCAGTGGCGGGAGACTCTATGAGACAGTCAGTAGGGTTCCTGCAATCGGTTTTTGCATCTAGCTGCTAATTTGCCATCTCGATTAATTTAGTTCCGCACTTTGCAACGCGACTGCGTTCTAACTGATTTTTCTCGTTGTTGTTAAATATTGTCACACTGGTGACGCAGCAGGTGGCAACGGGATTCATCGCATTCCGATGCCCAGACTGGGTGCATCGAGATGAACTAGTCATTGAATTATCCAAAGAAAACGGAGACAAAAAGAACTAATGGAACACTATTAATATGGTGTGATGAGTGAAAGAGTAAGCAGATCATGTGAGCTTGTATCGCCTGCTTGAATAACCCGCGAAATCGTGTGTATAAGAGTCTGCCGCAGAGTAGTCTTAGTTGAATAGTGTGATTTGGTAATAAACGGCACGAGACTACTATCGATGGGTGGTGTGGACGTGCATAGATCCTAGCAAGCTTAGCAATTGTGCATATTACATGTCCGTCGTTGAACGCGACGGACAACACCCAGTGTCGTAACATTCATGGATGAACAGAGATCGATACATGGAAAGAAGATCAATATGTATCGTAACTCGTACGGGTACGAAGTGGCCCATTTAGATAGTGGAAACTTGTAGAGAAAAATGAACGGTCAATGGACGGAATGAATAGAAGAGAAAGATATGAAATATAACGAGGATGGACAACAAGTTAGGCGGTGGGCGGTAGGAATGCTGAAGACAAATATGTGCACCGGATGTCAAAGGAGGGCGGAAGAAGCAATTAATATGGCGAAACGTATGGGAAACGACCGCATTAGTCACGAGCCAGTAAATTACCAGCGGTGGAACGTTTGTAAAGAGTGGGTCAAAACCGATGTCAGCTAGGAAGTGGGATGCAGAGGGCAGTGGAAATGCTATGAGGGTGAACTAAGAGCCTAGGTTGGTAGGTATAACACATGAGCATGATAAAACTAGTCTGAAAAACAAACAAAAAGCAGAAGTCAATCAAAAGCATGAAGCTAAGTGAGTAACTGTAGGAGCTAACATAAGGTGAAGGTAACAGTTTTACTCTGGATGTCTTCAAGCATTGGTAGGGCTGAATATGTGGGCTCTATACAGGAGGAGGATAGATGTGAGGGTGAAAAGTTAGTTCGACTGATCGCTTCACGTTACGTTGACAAGCTATCGCCTGGTCATAAAATGAGAAATTTAGCAGTGACTAAGACGTCGGGATTTGAAAAATTAACAAGGACTGAGTCTACTATGACTTGACCAGTGAAGATGGTTGACCAAAATCCTTTAGGATTTCATGATAGAAAATTGGACTTCCAAGCTAGAAAGAAAAGTGCAATGTTGGGAAGCTCCAAAATAGACGAAACGGAAGAATGTGTGGATACCATCGGATTGCGGTTATGAGTCTGTTTTGAAATCTGGAAAATCCATCATATTGTGTTAAAGAGACCTTGGTGTATCGTTAAAGGTGTCGGTCTCAGATGAAGGACACCAAAGACAAATTATCTCTTAAGGCTTTGTGGATAAAACAGTGAACGTTCGTAGTCAAAGAGCAGCAGTAATTGCACAGCGGTGTAACTCACAACGTATAAGACGGAAGGGCTGACGTTTCATGGCATTCCTAGGTAACAAAGGCGTTAAATAACAGCATTGCTCTCGCGACAAGTGCAACAGCGCATTAAGTGAATTCACAGTTCTATTTCATGTGACTGCTTAGGTACGCCAGTCGATTGGTTATTCGCAGAGATCCTTGGTAACCGTGAGAAACAGCGTATACTTCGATCTTGTCGCATTACAATGCACTTTAAATGGACAACACAGGTCGAAACGTGAAATACACCGTACCAGCAGTAAATAGAGAATGGGCTGAGATCGATAGTTAGGCCGCGTCAGCATGCAAACTAACAGGCCAGAAGACAGTGCACAATTTACACAGTGCATAATCCATTGGCGAATGTGGAAAGAACTGGAACTGCAAAAGAATTCACAGTCCACGCATCAGCCGCTTCCTGAAAAGAATGAAAATCAAACAGAGACCAAGCGCGAGCTCCAAAATTGCACAGCCGGTGGACCAAGATGTCCACATGACAAAGTTATCACGTTGGATAAACAAATATCAGAGGTGATGAAGAGTTATGGTAAATACAGGGTGGTTTATTAATCAGGTCCGGAGCTAGGGGCGGCTGCACCCAGGTGCTGATGTACCCCGGTACGCTGAATTGCTAATTGTCCAATGGCGCAAATTGCTTTGCCGGTAGGAATGAGATGGGTCACAGAGGCGCGACATGTGTGTCTAACATCGCAGGACTCAACGAGCCGTTCGGCTGTGAGAGGTGAACGTTAGCAAACACCACAGCCGCAATCGACTTGTTACGCGTAGGGCAAGACCAAGGGAACGCAAGAAGTTCGGGTGTAAGAATTGAAAGCCAGACACCACAGCCGCATTACCGATCGGTCGGTAGTCGGTCTTCATGCAGGTGAAAAGCCAGCGAAAGGGTTTCCTGCGAAGTGTGTCGCTGTGTTAGCAACTGAGAAAAAAAGCCTGGCCGTATGTGATGACCGGTCGATAGGCGCCGTATTGTTATCGCCACAAAAGCTGTTCTCGCCTCATGACTGGCTTCTAACAAACCCGTAAGCTTTTATTAGACTGCTTTCGCTGCTAAAGGGAATTATACTGCCGAGAGCACATGGCAAGGTTACAGTGTTGTTCGCTTTACCGTTTCGCTTGCGTGTGTGTTACAGCTGAAAGTTCATCCTTCATGGATGCATAAAAACGAATTCTTGATTTGACTTGACGTGACAATGCTCTTAGATTTCAGTCCGCCCCGACGCACTGTTGGCACCAATCGACAGCATACCAATTTATTCATAAATACAACTGTTGCCCTCACAGTCAGACAAATGGGTTGTACAAATTGGTTAGGCCTTCGATGCTGTTTCTCGGGTACAATCAAGAATAGAAATTTATTCATTTCGTTACTTATATTTACGTGAAATGTCGGTAAATATCAACGAATTAGATGTTGGCAACACCAAACAAAGCGGACGGCCTCGCACTGTCACGGATGAAGTATCAGCTCGCGCGGTTGCCCTAGAGGTATGCAGTAACAGCCATCTCAGCATTCGGTAACTCGCACAACATTTCGAAACCACACCATATGCAGTGCACCGGATATTGAAGGGGGAAAATGCCGGAGGTACAGCACACTGCAGGTGCAAGTTTTGAACGCATGCGAAGAGATCGAATTACTGAGTGAAATGTTTTACAGCAATATACGTAATCTTAAATGAAACAGTAGATGCAAAAGATCTATAGCTACTGATGGGGGGAAATGCAAAAATAGCAAATGAATAACGAGGATGACACTTACCTCGTCGATTACGTTGGCATAGTCATCGGGATCGGTGGCTGGCCGACACCGTCCACAGCAGCAATCACAGCAGAAACAGCAACACAGACAGCAACAGCCGCAAGTGAGGATAAACAGCGTACCGATGCAGCACTAAGAAGAAAACAAATGAGTATATCAAAGTGGAATTACTGACACATGGATAATGCACAGACACAAATTCGGTAAATGACATAATATGCAGTGTTTTTACTACAAGTATACTGGAAGTGGACAAACCACAAAACCAAAACAACCAAGCCGCAGTCTTCAGGACTGTTAAATCCGATATACCAAAGGTGCGACAACACGAGAGAAGTTGAAGCGCCCAGTGGGTCACCAGTAAATCTCGTGGAGAGATTTCGGCGGAGAAGGAAAACGCATGGATTTTAAGGATAGCTCGTACACCTGTGCAAGAACGTTGGGCACATGACAAAAATGTTACGATATGTGACAAAAGATAACCATATTGAAAAGGCCAAATACACGTGATAAAGCAAAGCTGTTGTTTCAAGAAGACGTGAAAATGTAACGTGGCTCAACAGGATGACTGGCAGGACCAGGGCCACATTAGAGAGGGAACGCAGAAGTATAGATACAAATTAAATCAGTAAACCAAAAAGAACAAGTAGAGTGAAGCAAAAAGGGCAGCGTGTGTGTGAGATAAGCAAAATGAGCCGCCATTAAGCTTTAAAAATAGCTCGGGAACAGAACGGATCAGCACTACGTCTCGGCATAGATTGGGACACAAGTGACCTAACTGTCAGCTAATTCTAATTGGCTTAGCAGTTAATTTTACTCAACAAGTTGCCCTACTGGGGTGAATAAATAGTTAACGAGCGAGGTAGTGGCCGCATATATTCTCACACTCCAGGCTCCTGCATTCCAAATGGATCAAAGGATCCTATGGGACACGTTAGCGCCGGGCTGATGACCCCACATAACATTCGAATGTATCTTGGACGTTTACAACTAAGGTATATGACCATCACATTGATACCACGAGCTAGGCTACGGATTTCCCTATCGAAGACTGATCAGTGGGTTTCTGTCAAAACACAACACTACAGTTCATTTCCTTTGAGCCGGAATAATGGATCACCATTCCCCTAATCGAAGCAGTTATCGGGACAAAAACCTGGACTTCACAGATATTGTCGATAGATCTGACTGAGACTCCTGTGTCACATACTTGGTTTATGCCACCCAAGTCGTCCGACACAATGCCTCTCATAGCCTTTCTCGACAGTTATACTACCTTGTCACGAACAAGCGACGGAACGCTTTTGCTGTTAACCAGAGCCTCGTCACGCATCGAGTTGAGGACAGGTTACAGAATGATTCATGAGGCGGCGTCCGTCCGCACACAACAAACTGTTCCATGTCACGTGGGCACCATCGCAGCACCCCCGCCGGAGTTTCATGATGGCTCAGTAGCGGCCGATGAGTCGGTTTGTCTCATCCCGCGACTCGCTAGTAGTCCAAACGTTAGTGCGAGGGACGACCGGTACCTGCGTATTGTCTGGCACACTTTTTCACTTGTGCTTAGCCCCTGTCGATCTGCGTGCAAGGTGATCTGTCTACTCATCGTCAAACCTGGGTGTCATGCAACTGTGACAAAATGATACACATAGTTGTATTCACCAATACCTATGCGCTCTCAGATCCAGTGAGCACTTGGAGTTGTACTCACAGATGGTAGTTACAACTACACTATCAAATGAGATGGGGTCGACGACATTTAATTGTACGAGGGTCACTCAATAAATATGGTGAATTTTTCGGTATAAGGACTTGTAATACAGATAGAAGCTTACCTTTCGCTTATTTTTGTTGTTTTACTTTTTTTCACATGGATGCAATTTCTTTTGAAGATTGAAAAAAACTTTGAGAGTTGTAGCGATTAACAAAGATGGTCGACCAAAAAACATGCTCCAGGATTGAACAGCGGTCAGTTATCAAGTTTTTGGTTGCTGAAGAGTGCAAACCAGTTGAAATTCATAGGAGAATGTCAACTTTGTATGGTGCAACGTTGCAGCCGAAAAAATGTCTACAGGTGGGCAAAATTGTTTATAGAGGGACGGAGCAGTGTTGAGGATGAAGACAGGCCTGGGAGGCCTACAGAAGTGAGGTCTCCTGAGGTAATCGAATCAACCAATGACCTCATCCAGTCGGACAGAAGGGTGACATTCCAAGGACTTTGAGCTTATCTGTGGGGGCGGCACACAAAATTGTCCATGTCATCCACTGTCACCCTTCTGTCCGACTGAATGAGGTCATTGACTGATTCGATTACCTCAGGAGACCTCACTTTTGTAGATCTCCCAGGCCTGTCTTCATCCTCAACACTGTTCCGTCCCTCTTTAAACAATTTTGACCACTTGTAGACATTTTTTCGGCTGAAACGTGGCACCATACAAAGTTGACATTCTCCTATGAATTTCAACTGGTTTGCACTCTTCAGCAACCAAAAACTTGATAACTGACCGCTGTTCAATCCTGGAGCATGTTTTTTGGTCGACCATCTTTGTTAATCGCTACAACTCTCAAAGTTTTTTTTCAATCTGCAAAGAAATTACATCCATGTGAGAAAGAAGTAAAACAACAAAAATAAACAAAAAGTAAGCTTCTATCGGTATTAGAAGTCCTTATACCGAAAAATTCACCTTATTTATTGATTGACCCTCGTACTTTTGTGAACATCATATCACAAAATATGAATTACAAAACGTAGGCGGATTGGATGATTGAAGAGTGTGGGATACTCAGCAGCTGCCAAATCATACAGAAAACAGCACGGCCCGCAATGTTGAGCTACGGCGAGGCTGTGGTCAACGATGACTGTCGTGTTCACCATACGCAGCGCTCTGATTTCCCTCACCTCTACTCTTCCCACAGGACGACTTTCTGGTTTGGCAAAAAGTGCGGATCTAGGGCGTGAGAATCTGTGCGGTCACCATACCTAGCTTGTAAAGGTTAAACGGGTTGTAGGAGGCAGATGATGGATCAATAATAAACGCCTGTACTACGCTTTAACTGAGCCTTGAATAGCTACGTGTCTGCGGGAATCTCAAAATGGAATTTTCGTGGCGTCATTAGGCTGGATCTTCGAGCGAGAATTCAGAGCCAAATCGCATGCCACTGGAAGATCAAACACTGCATGTCTGAAGGAGTAGATCAGGCAGCAATGCGTATTTAAGGCTATTCGTAAAGACCTGGCGGTTAACAGGTCAACCAGTTGCATAACTCAGTTCTTCAGAGACAAACGTTCATTCAGCAAAGTCAAGTCCGCGAAAATTACAGCATGTTTGGCAAGCCAAACTCCTCGATATAAATTTCACTTTCAAGTCCATAACTAACGAGCTTTTGAGTCGATGAGGTTCCTCCTTCGCTTCAGTTAAGCAAACGGTGGATCACTCACAAGAAATTCGATCAATACGAGTCCAGTAATCCAATCCGTCGCGCTCGCCTCCCACTGGCTGTCAAGCTCGCTAGGTTGGTCTATCTGCTCACCCTGATTCGATGCTACCATCACACAAGCAATCGTAACAAGCAAACTGGTAATGTAGTTAATGTTGCAACACAGCGGAGAATTATGCCACAAAGACTGTATGTTGAGCAACAGCTCAGTAATATACTTATTAGGAGAATACGCGGTTGGCAAGTCCGTTGTACGATTAGCACAATGGGGGTGAGCGCGAAATATGAGTGGTCGTCCACTGTACTGAGGTCTGAAATTAAGTTTCGCTTTAATCTTTCTATTACACCTCAATCGTACACGCAATTTCATTCACTTAGGGGTCTGCACCGATGTGCTATTGTAGACGGAATGAAACTTAGGGGTTGTCATTATCAAAAGGGGATAGTGGTGGCGCGGTAAATACATAAAACACCACATCTGTCAGTGATTGAGACACGAATACAAGTAAGCGAGACACAAAAAGCCACGCAAAAAACTATTCGCAAGCAACACCAAGGGAATAACAACGAACCGGAAAGTTAGACGCCGGCCTACAGAGAAGATACAACATGCCACATAGGTGACCGCAAACAATGCAGACATAACCGTAGCGGAATCCTGATAAATAGTTATGCGGGACCATAAAATACAGAATAAATAACTAAAGTAGTAGTATGTGTAGATAACCGTTGCCATAAGACGGGGCCTTAACGTGGTGCGACGGTTTGCATATATACTTGAACCAGTAAGCCATAGTGGGTGGTGGTCCCGGGCCCCTTGAGAGCTACTCCTACCAGACTAGACGTCAGAAAAACTCTGTCTCGTAGTCCTCAAAGTTAGGGAATTGAAATAGAATGGAGTCCGTCTCTGTAAAACTAAAGCATTGCCACCTCCACGCTGCTTGCGGACAGGTTATTGAGCCACATGCTTTGGTTGAGAGCCCTAATCATTATCCTGTCTAGACTTGGGCGCCCTGGCAGTATCTCGGCCCACATACAACCATGGCAATTTCCCCAAACTCTAACTACATCCTGCATCGGCTGTCACGCAGATTATCAAGGGTCGTCATATCTGCCGTATCCAGCAGGACGGATAAGCGAAAACATGCTACTGCTGGCGCCACCCTACTTTCTTTTCCACTAGTTACTTTTACTCCTACCCAGACCCATATTACTAACCTTTATTCTATAATTTCCAGCTTAATTGTCAGCAACCGAAGTGCCACTGGAGCAAAACCATCTGCAGCCACCCTGTAACACACAACGAACGCTTGCCGGCAACAGGCCCTTATAAGGAAACGCTGTCCCGTTTCCTTGCCGGCGTTCAACTTTCGCACACGAAGACAAACAGGTCAACAGGCTGCACTCGCACGCACGATAGACACACTAGGTATTGACGTGTTGTGTATCCAAAACTAGGATCAATGACATTCATGTGGCTGTTGAATTAACTGCGCCCGGCTTGTCCTCTTGCTATTGGTTGTACGCATCCGGAGACGCGGATACAGCACTCACGCGTCAAGTTAGGGAAGGTATCATACCCAGCACCAAAGATGAGTTGATTGGATTCCGGTGAAAAGCCGTTTGTGTGCGGCGCGTTTGACGATAGCAACTAAGGTTGATTCACGAAGGAGTAAAAAACCATGCATGTTTGT